TGAATCGTGTGGCCCCTAGATTGGCAAATTTCCAGGGCCCGAATCCAAGCGCAGGGCTTTCGGATCTTGGTGGCCTTCAGCTGCAAAGCTCCACAGAGTGTCACCAAACATAGCGCAGGGGTCTTAATCCTGGGTTCCCCAGTAGCCCCTTAATAATAGGGTACCCTTTTTCCTACTGCTGGGTTTTAATAAGGGAACCCAAAAAGGAAAAGGGCAAAAGGGTACTACTGGCGAACCTAGAATCAGAATATGACTACATCAGGACGATACGGGGAGATCATTACTGACTACTCGGACCCGACCGCAAAGGGTTTCACACGCTGCACGACTCCTGCTTTTGCATCACAGCACCCCGGCACCGCCTACGACATCCAGGATTCTTGGGGGGAAGCGAGGAAGACACAAAACCCAGAGGCAAGTGCCCACGGGAAACACTGCTGGCATCTTCCCAACAACACATGCCTCCATACTGAAAGCCAACGTTCTTTCTTGTCGCCCTTCTGGCTCCCAGACTTACATGACATGCGAGGCATGGCTTTAAGAAGTCAAGCCCTCATCAGCTCTCTATCCTAGCTTCAAGATCCGCGGCCTCTGCAATCAACAATGCCACCGCCAGGAACGACAGCGCTCCTGGTGAGAACTCCTAACCCGAAAGCCCTACAACCCTGCGACACCGGTTCCGTCGGGCCAAGCACAGCAACACGTTCTGCACTTCTGCAGTTTGGCTGGGCCATAGATTGAAGGGAGCTTCTTGGCTTGAGGTTTGACATAGCTTGATTTTAAAGAGCAGGAGCCCTTGACATGTAAGCTGAGATGCGAACTCTACTGAACATCTACAGGTCCGCCTCCCCAGGCCTTCAGCGCAAACCACAACGACAACAAAAACGCTTCAACCGCCGTGTCACTGTCACTCAATGTTCGCAAACTGCTACAAAACTCTACCCCCTTCCGCAATCCAGCTAGCGCATCCTACACACCGAAGCCCGGAGCCCTCTCCCTCTCATCGATCTTAACTCAAAGTCTTCCCAAGACTCAGCTTCAAACCTCCAAACCTGTGGGCCTAAACCCGACTTCCTGAAGCCCTTATGTAACCTAACCCCTAAACCCTACATCCCCAACAAAACCTTCAACCCTGCAAACCCCGATCCCTAAATCCCGAAGCCTGAACCCTGATCCTTCCAGAGAGCCCAATTTACCCCTTATTAAGGAATATACCTTAAATTTCGCCTTAAATTTTAGGGGCCTTATTAATACCATGATTTACGGCGTATATTCCTTATTTAAATAATTGAAGGGTATTGGGCTCTCTGGGCTTGACGCTGGGGTCCCCAGCTTGCGGTCAACTTCATTTCGAGCTTTTGGCGAGTCTCCGCCGCCCGGGGCAGGGGCGACGTTACGACGACTCTGAGCCCGCGCTGAGGTGTCTCATGCTTTTCGGGTTTGGGGCTTTAGGGCTTAGGGTTGAGAGTTTAGGGTTTAGGGTTTAGGGCTTTAGGGCTTAGGGTTGAGAGTTTAGGGTGTTCATGGTCATGGTTTAAGATTTTGGGGTTTTTCATCGTTTTTAAGGCTTTAGGGCTTAAGGTGAAGGATTCTTTTGGTTGGGTTTTCGGGGTTGTGGATCTTTGGGTTTCGGGTTTGAAGGTTTAGAGTCCACCGGTTTAGCATTTCGGGAATTTAGGGTTTAGGATTTAGGGTTTAGGGTTTTCGGGGGGGTTTTCGGGGTTACAAATTCAAGTGAAGCCGAAGAGGATCTCGTCTTAGCCGCCCCAATGCAGGGTTCAGGGTTTAGGGTTTAGGGTATGTGGGCTAAAAAGCCTTCCGTGTTTTGACATCAATACACCTGAGGAAAAGCAGGAAATTCAGTGCAGCCTAACCCTTCCAGCCAAGAATGTCGGGTTTTACTTTCAGTGGCTATTTTGGCTTTAAATGGTTGGGACGGGATGATATACACGAGAACAAGCACTCACGAGTTCTGGAGGTAGAAGTCGGTCAAAATGGTTGGGATGGAGGGCTTCCTTTTTTGCCACGTCCAGCACTGTGTCGCCATTGTTGGTTTTTCCCGACCGACCACCGTGCTGCAGAACGGGGCTGCGCCGACTGCGTGGAGCTGCTGCTTGAAGGCGGGTGCGGCGAAGGATTCGCAGGACAAAGACGGTGAAACGCCGCTCCACTGCACCGCAGAACGAGCCATGCCGACTGCGTGGACCTGCTGCTCAAGGCCCGCCTTCAGCAGCAGCTCTACGCAGTCGGCGTGGCCTTCGCGTGCGGCGAAGTGGAGCGGCGTCCAACAACAATGGTCCTTTGCATCCCTGTCAGTGCCGGCGCTGGGCGACCTGTAGGAGCACCTTTGCACTTCTCTCTTGGCCGCAGCTCACTGCAAAGGCGCCACAGGTGACCGGATCCCCTCTGTAGAGCCCGAACACCCAGATTGAACTCTCTCAAGATGAAGACCGCAGCGCTGCCAAGTACCGGCAAGATAACTTGTTCAGCCAAGATGTCCAACATCTAAAACTCATGCACACCTGTTCGCGATGCACTGCACTTGCATGGGCGTTACAGTTGTTTCAGTCTGCGCTCACGGATTTTAGGGTTTGCTGTGAGAAGCGAAGCCGGCTTCTTCCATCAATCCAAAAAAAGCAGGTCGAGCGGGGTGATGTTCAGCTGCTCTTCTGCTTTCTGCTGGTGGCCACGGCTTGCCGCACGGCAGGCTCAAATCTTCACCCAATGCAAAGGCTTCCAGCAAATCTTTTGATGTTGGTCTCGCCAGAGCTGGCTGAATCAGCAGGCGGCAAGTCTCCGCCATCATGTGGACCTCAATGATGTCAGCCAAGTTTCCGAAGCGGCTTTCTAAGGCAGCGCGGTGCACCCTATGTGGATGAAGGTGGTCTAAGAGCAAAAGCCTCAAATATCCATCAGCTTGTGTCCACTGTTTCCCTGAACTTCTGGGCTCCAGCGGCGCATACTTCTTGGCTTTTGAGTCGTCGCCTCATTCCGCGATGACACCTAAGCCGCTGGTGGCTGTGACCCTGATTAAACGTTAACCGTTAACCGTTTTCAATCTGAGCTTCTACGCGGCACTTGCCAACCAAAGAACCGAAACAAAACAAAACCACAGCTGGGCTGTGTACCTTGCACGACGGCGTCCAGGTCGATGAGATTAAGGGTGATGCTTTCGCCAGGTGTCTGCACTTACAGGATGTTGAGCTCATTGATATCGCGGTGGGCAATCAAATGGCTGTGGAGATATGCTGGTGTGTCGCAAGTATCTCGGAGCGCTTGTCGAAACTCGGCTCGCACTGTTGCCGTGACTCGTTGCCCTTTGCTGCAGAGTTGGGATTCGATTCTCTAAAAGCACACTGAAGGGCTCGCTGCCAAATGTGAGTTGTGCAAGAATTCTCACAACTCCGGGATGTGACAGTGCGTGGAGCCCCTCCGCTTCCAGGCGGATGGCTTTCTTGTCCCGCTGCTCTTGGCCGGGCTCAAGGTGAGTGCTATCCTTTAACACATTCGCCGCGACAGCCACACCGCGCCAAAAACTCTTACGACAGATGCACAGCCTCCTTGGCCAAGCGTCTCACGTTCACTCGATCTCTGCCTCCTCTACTGCAGGCAGCGCGCGTGGAGCAAGCTGCTTCTCGCTTGGTGACTGTTGGGCCCCACATGATATGGGAGTTTCCGAAAATAAGGGGTACCCTGATTGGGGGCCTTATAATAAGGATCCTACTATTTAGGGTGCTATATTAGAGTCCCCTATTTTTGGAAACCCCCATAATGCCCACCATGCAGAGACCTTTCGCTTGCTGGCCATCAGCAAAGCTGGTCCTGGATGGACACGCGACTCTTGGCCTCTTGTCCCTGATGACGGTATGCCCTTGGGGCCAGAAACAGCATTGACGCCGGACCGCGGGAAACCGGAGATCTCACAAAGGACATTGCCCACACGAAAAAATGATCTGATTGTCGCGGTAGGGCCTAGATTAGCTCGTAGCGTCACTTCCTAAATTCACACTGGCCAAAAAGGGGAGGTCAGGAGGGAGCCAATTGGGTTTGGAACGTGCAAGTACACAGTATGTGAAGCATGCTACGAGGCAACCTGGACACTCATAGACCACAGGCGGCGTCAACATTCACAGCTCGCATTCGGAAACAGCATATCCAGCATATCGAATCCGTAAAGCCAGCTTTGCAAATGCGGGTGTTGACGGCAAGTCTTTGAGTCCATCCATGTCGTGGTTGTTGGCAAGCTGTTGGCATAGGATTGCAACAGCATTGCATAGCCTAGCAATCAGGTCTACCAGCATTTGGGGGACAGGCCGGTGAAAGAGAGCTGGCGATTGCACATTCCGAAGAGTTACAGCTACGGGTTCGAAGCACTCCGTGTAATTCGACATGCAGTGCTCGGGAGTAGGGCCATGCAGACTAGGGCGTCATGCACCTTGCACGCGATATGGGGCCTACCTGCAGATGAGATCGCAAATCTCAGACTACCATCAACCACCCCGAACCTCACTCAAAAGCCAAACGTGACAACGCAGCCCTAGCCCTGAGCGAAGCAAGTCTGACTGTTTTCGCACGGCTTCTCTGATGCCCTTCCACGCGTCTGAGAGTGCTTCGGCCTGCATTGCCACGAGGATCTAAATCTTCCAACTTGGGGCTTGTCGTGTTGTTGGGCTCCGGGCTTTAATCAGCTTCTTTGCAACACAAGTTGTGCATCCGCCAGTAGGTTGGAGAGTCTGTTTGCCCTACACCCGGCTATTCTGGCTGAATACGGCTGAATGTTCTTCAGTTCGGTTGATTTCCATGATGCAACTTCGCGCAGAAGTGTGTGATGTCGGCGTGTTTCTGCTGTGAGGCATTGCAGGATTGGAACCCAACTATCGTGTCCCACCCAGTGAACAGTCTTGGAGAAGAGTCTCGCCAGCAGATGCGCTGCCCTGAATGTCTCAAAATCACACCACTCCAAGCTGGCTTCCCGCGTGCAAGCCCGGCATGCGCTTTTCCGCCGATGCGAGTAGCAACAAACGCAGCCGTCCCTTGACTTCTTTTTGGAGCATCCTGACCTGCCAGAATGGTTTAGGGCTTAGGGTTTGGGTTGCAGCATTGGCAGGTGGAGCTTCTTGAGATCGAATTTCTGAGCCCGGCAGCAGAATACCAAGAGTGTGACTAAACCTTAGGCCTCCTACTCTTAAATTCTCTTCTGGAAAACCGACACGCCCCAAACTCTAGATCTGCCCCAGAGATTGTAAGCGAAGCGGAACTCCCTCCAACCTCCACACGACCATCCTCGGAGAGCAGTGAGACATTGACGTGGCCTGCCAGGACTGACAAGGTTGCTTTCTAAGCCATGGATACATATACACATGTAAGAGAGAGAGAGAGAGAGACATGTAAAGCTACAGTATAAGCACACACATACAGGAGTGCACGTAGATGCTTTATCGTTGCAAAGCAGATGCTGTCGGAATTTCCACTCGGGTCGAGCGCATTGCAAACCCCGAAGCATCGAAGAATCTTCTTGTGGCCTTTACACTTGTCAGCAAGGCCACAAGGCTCACTGGAAGAATGTCAAGCCATCAGCCGACCACACTTCTTCCACTTGAACCGCCGAACAACTGCAGTGCTCCAATGAACAATATCTAGAACCTAAACAACAACATTGCTGATTTTTGACGCATCAGTTTCCATTTGAGCTCTCCATGGGATTCTTGCCAAGGAACCTTGGCGAAGGAGGTTCCGAAGCTCTCGCTGCCTCACTCTGCTTCACGCAGTGCCAAACAAAGGTTAAAGAGCATGACAGTGAACGGCGGTGATCAAAGCGATGATGATGCTGATGATGATAGCGCTGATGATCATCATAATCATGATGAATGGAGCACACTTGCAGCGACAGTTGTATCATCCATGAAAATCTTAACCAAAATGATACCGGTGAAGGTTGCCACAAGTCCAAGTAACCCACCCATCCAAGGAGTCGGTCAAAGCATCGGAAACGTAGAAATCATCTCAACCATAGCAGTCATCTTAAGCCGAGCGAACGCACTAGCCACAGAGTGCCAAGATATAAGGGACGGTTGAGCAGGATGCTGCTCAAGTGAGTAAAGATGACGAAAGTAGAGGCAGGGTTTTTGTCTTGTCCAACTTTGCGATACGTTCAAGAGCCCTTTCGCCGCGCACAGCAGCACATGGAACGAAGCAAACACCGGCATGTTCCCCTAGTGATGCTCCCCATATCCTCATGCATCCGTGATAAGCATGGGATTTCGGTGAGGAGCCAGGTGCAGAACCGGCTCATCGATCAATAGACAGGCCATTGATAGTGCTTTCTATACCGGTACTCATACAATATGTATGTTAATGTGCTTTTGTGCTGACATTTTTGGGCCAGTGACATATCAATATCTCAAGTATGCAGTATCATGCAAGGACGATGTGCAAGAATATCAGCAGGCCAGGTGATCCGGGATTTCCCACACACCTGTCCTTTGCCTGGCCCAACTGGTGGGCCGTGCTCGGCCTTCACCCTTTTACAAGTTGTTCTACCTTTTCTTTACCTTGTTGTTTCACCTGAGTCCAGCTTTATTTCACCTTGTTTGTACCTTTTACTACCTGTTCTTCACCTTACAACTTCACCTTTCGTTTACCTTTTATGTACCTTTATTTTGCCTTTTGTTCAATCCGGCACCTGCCTTTGTCTCCATGGCTCGGACCTTCTAAGGATAGACAGATAGAAAAGTATGCATGTACGTGTCGCACGTACACTTGTATGAACGTATACTACATGAACACACATACACACACATATATATATATACATACATACATAAATACTTACATATATATATATATATGTACACACACGCACATACATATGTATAGGTACATATACACACACTGTTGGTTTGCGGTATACACCTACAATTATACTGCCAGACGCGTTGATGCTCTGTGATGCCATGTTGCTCGAGCAGACTCCCACCATATGCGCTGTCTTCCTCAGCCAACTCAACCAACACGTAAAAAGGTCGAAGCCACACACCAAGCCCGAACCTGTTTCAGCCGTGACAGCTGCTCGTCGACCGCCTGCAAGGAGCCATGCATCATCATGCATCATCATGCATCTGTGCCACCGCTTGCAATACGTCGTGCTGATCAACGGGGACACACGGCAAGCCTCCGAAATCCGAAACCGAAACCCCAAACACAAGACATTCCAGCCAAACAGACCAGACCTTGCGCAGGCAGAATTATCTCCCTTGACAGCAGTCTGTCTTCCTTTAACTTCGGCCTTACGGTTGTTGAAAGTTGGTTTTCGAGTTTTGGTGAAAGCCCTGCATGCAACCTCAGTTTGGCCTGAGTCTGTGTGCAACGTCAAAGCTTGCTCATTGCTTCCACTGCTGTCAGCCCTGAACGCTTCAGCCCTGGAAAGCTCTTGCTTGACACGGTGTAACCATCCATCAAGCTTTCCTTGACCTCTTCAGCCCGCCTGCAGCCTTGCCAGGGCTGCAAAATCGCGGGCCCATGCCGGGACACGGGGGTGTGGCACCTGCTAAGAGGGCTGAGACATGCCAAGAACATGCATGCTCAAACTGACTCCCTCACCTACTGGAACTCACATGAAGTCAGCTGCGCCGTTTATGAAGAAATCAAGGCCTGGATGTCCAAGCAACCTTACTTTCATGTGAGTAGGCACCTCGTTGCGCACACAGTGCTCCATGCCATAGTCCACTAAGAGCTCTTCATCAAGACCTGCGACAGATCCGGAACTGCCAGACCCCTGACCCGAAATCTCGGTTTCGCAAGTCTCAAGGTCCACGAATTGCATGTTCGCCTGGCATAAAAGCCTATTGGCGCTACCTAAACCGTATTTGACCTGTGCTACCCTTACTACGCACCAACCACAGCACCAAACTCAACCTGCCTATAGGCTGAGTCACCTCGATGGTCGCCACGTGCATATCAGATGATCCGATCGCACAGTTCGGAGCATCCGCGATTCCCACGTAGTGGTTCACAAACCTTGGTGACATTGAAACTTACACCACAAACGCCTAAGCACAAGAACTCTTGACCGAAGTGCAGCTTCATCACAGGCACATTTCGAAGCAATCATGAGTCATGAAAGTCGTGTACAGCTGCCAGCAGCATCGGTGCCATGTTGCCTGGTTACTGCCGGTCCCATCTAGTGTGAATCCACTCCAACATCTGCGAGTCACGATGCCTCATTGGAGTAACGTGCTCCATCCACGACCATGCCGTTGCGAGACAGGAGGGAATAGGATGATCTCAGTCTGCCACAATGTGAGCTGCTGGAACAGAGCTCCGCCACTTGACACAAGCATGCTGTGCATTTTTTCCGGAACTCTGTGCAGCCAGATTCCACTACATACTCCCGAGGCATCCCTCAAACGACCAAAAAATGGACTAAACGCAGAGAGGGATCGAGTATTGGGCATGGTCGGCTTCGCTGTGGTACAGCTCGCCTAATGTACGGGCTTTAAAGTTAGAAGAGGTTTGGGGGTATGCATGCATATATATATATATGTTGAGTTATGTATTTATTCACATTGTATATATGAAACTAAAATTATAACAAGGAACCTTAAGGAATAATCTTGGTAGTCTTTTAGGCCAGGTGAATAACAATCCGCAACTGCCACGGGCCTGGCCGCGGAGCCAATAGACTCCAGCCTAAAACGCATGTTTCCTTGATAAGTGTGTTTGCATGCACATATGCATATACATATGCATATTACATACATATACATATACATATAAATATACATATACATATACATATGCAAATACATATACAAAAACATATACATAGACATATACATAGACATAAACATAGACATAGACATAGACATAGACATAGACATAGACATAGACATACACGTAGACATACACATGCACATACACATACACATACACGTACAGATACACATACACATACACACACATATACATATACATATACATACACATATACATAAACATATACATATACATATACATAAACATAAACATATACATACACATATACAAACTCATACACATACATACATACATACATACATACATAC